GTAAATTAAAAAACAAACAAAAAAAAACCCCTTGATCAGAAATGTTGACCTGTAAATTTTGCTGGTGAATGAACAATAAAGGGCTTTGAGTCGGAAGGGAATATATAGAAGAACATTTAAAGCCTCCAGTCCCTCAGGTATACTTTCTCTCAACACCAAGCCATTTTAATACAACGACACTGGGGACAAACAGACCACACAGATCAAAGATTACTTAACCAGCAGATCTTAAACAAGTTTAGAGAATTCATCACGTCAAACTAGTAGAATTAGAAAATTAGGGCCAGTGGAGTTTTATCATGTCTGCACTAAAACAATCATTGTGACAAAATATTTCTCCTACCCACCACTCCCCACAAAAAAGACAAAATATTTCTCATTAGACTCTAGGTAATTTTTGCCTCACCTTAAAATAAAAGTCTGGGGCCACCAGGTGGCATTGTGGCTAAGGCGTTGGATTTCCACATGGCAGAACTGCATTTCGAGTCTCGGACCTGGTGGCTTGTTTTTTCACTTTTCGTCTCTCTCTCTCTCTCTCTTTCTCTCTCTGGTGAGCACACATGTGCTATAGCAAGTAAGTAATAATAATAAATAAAAATAAATAATTCTTTTAAAAAATGTAAGTCTGAACATTCATACACAGTAAATATACAGTAAGAAATAGGCTTAGAAATAGTGTTGATCATTATTTGAATTACTGCTTCTTTGCGAGTTAGTTTGATTTCCAAAAGAAAAAAAATTAGTTCTTGTCATACACTTGCAATTTACAATTGCTCGTGATGATTATCTTTAAGGACAGGATCATTTTTATGTTATCTTTCACATCCTAGTACTCTATTTATTCTAAAATGGCAGTTCCATCAAGTTACCTAATATATGATTGGGTTGCCTATTTATTGCTCAGGTAAAAATACTTACAGTTTCTAAATTCTTACATTTTCTCTACAACTTGTTAGTATAAAGTCATTAGTTTAGTATTGGAGCCCAAACAATACCGAAGGACTGTGTTGTTAAAATGCTCTTGCTTTAGTTTAAGTTTATTACAAAATATTCTGAGTAATCCAAATATGTTTATAACTCACAGTAAATTCCCACTTTAAAATCCTCCATTTTTTATGAGTCATAGAAAAACTAGCAATCTGCTTTTCAAGGTTTGCAATAGCATAACTCTGTTTTCCACAAGCCAGTCTGGTTTTGAAAGCTATGTGCTATAGAGATTGATTCCAAATATTTTGAGATGTTTTGGCATTGTATTTCTCAAAAAAAAAAAAAAAAAAAAAAAAAAAAAAAAAAAAAAAAAATACTTCATCTCATACCAAAATTACAGGTCATTTATATGCAAAAATTGTAGATAATTCACCTATGATATTAACTCTTGACAACTCAATCAATAAAAGTTCTTTAGTACCATTTTTTTTTTAATTGCCAGAGGGCACGGGCACACACCAGAGAATTAGAAGAGGAATCAGAAGAGGAAAATCAATTTTAAGTGGAGTTTGTTATAACTAGGAAATTTATATTAATATAATAAAAACTTATTTTTTAAAAAGTTTTGTGCCATAAACACGTGTGCTCACTGGAGAGAGACAGAGAGATGGAGAGAGAGAAAGTGAAAAATCAACCCCCAGGGAGGATGACCACACTGCAAACCCTTCTCCTCCATTCTCCTCCATTCTCCTCTCACAAGTTTGAGCACACATACATGCACTCAGTGTGATTTTCCAAGTCACTAGGTCCAGGACTCTAACTGTAGTCAACCTTGTGGGATCCAGTGCCTTAACCACCACACCATGTAATGGCCCCTGTTCTATCAAATCTTATTTAAGATATTTTTGCTGTAGAATGCGTTTGTTCAGTAGAGAGAAAGAGGGACAGAAAGTGAGAAATTACTTCCCAGAGGGCATGGCCACGCTGCAATCCCTTCTCCCCATTTTCCCTTTACCCCATTTTCCCCTCGGGATTTTGGGCAAGCATGCACTCCCAGCCCCAGGTGAGTTTTAAGCTGCTGGGTCCAGGACTCCATCGGTGTTCCACTACATGGGAGTCTAGGATGTGCCATCTGCTGGTCCCATGTTCTATCAAATCTTAAAGGCAATAACATTGCTTTGTCTGGTCATTTAAGACTCATGATCACTTTAAAAATTCAACAATGCATAGAAACATTTAAAAATTTGTCTTAATTCTTTGTAGTCTGTGCTAGCTAGAAGTACACACACATACACACACTGAGATGTTTTTCATAAAACCTTTATAAATTGTTATTTTCTAGTTCCACTAGAAAAAGAAGTGTAGGACTCTGTTTCCACCACAAGGTGTCAGTCCCTGGTAATTTAACCTTCATAGGGCTTTAAGATTATGTGAGGATTGTCAGTAATTGCCAGGAATACACACTGCATATTAAAACATGAACAGTCCTCGGCACCCAAGCTGTGAGTAAAGGACAATCACGGAAAATGCTGCTGAGCCTTAATTCTCCTTCACATTTTCTAACCAGACTACCCCTGGGAATGTTGTGCACTAAATCCCCAGAAGCTGCAATTCAAGACTCAGACACTTTACCCTGGTCTCTGCAACGGAGACTCCGAGTGCCATTATCACCTCTGGAGGACCCAATTCTGTCTATGCAGAAGATGCACCCTGGTTTGATCCAGCAATATTTATCATTGGGAAGCCTGTTCTCAGAATTTGCTATGGCTTGCAGATGATGAATAAGGTTTTTGGAGGTACTGTGCATAAACAAAGTATCCAAGAAGATGGTCTTCAACATCAGTGTGGATAACACAGGCTCATTATTCAGGGGCCTCCAGAAGGAAGAAATCATTTTGCTTACACATGGAGGTGGTGTAGACCAAGTAGCTGATAGATTCAAGGTTGTGGCACGTTGTGGGAACATCAGAGCAGGCATAGCAAATTAATCTAAAAAATTATATGGAGCACAGTTTCATCCTGAAGTTGGCCTTACAGAAAATGGGAAAGTATTTCTGAAGAATTTCCTTTATGATATAGCTGGTTACAGGAGGACCTTCACTGTGCAGAACAGAGAACTTGAATGTATTCAAGAGATCAAAGAGAGTAGGCACATCAAAAGTTTCAGTTTTACTCATTGGTGGTATAGATTCTACAGTTTGTACAGCTTTGCTAAATCATGCTTTGAACTAAGATCAGGTTATTGCTGTGCACATTGATAATGGCTTTATGAGAAAACGAGAAAGGCCAGTCTGTTGAAGAGTCCCTCAAAAAGCTGGGAATTTGGGTCAAAGTGATAAATGCTGCTCATTCTTTCTACAATGGGACGCCACCACTACCAATATCAGATGAAGACAGGACCCCATGAAAAAGAATCGGCAAAACATTAAATATGACTGTAAGTCCTGAAGAGAAAAGAAAAATTATTGGAGATACTTTTGTTAAGATTGTCAATGAAGTCATTGGAGACATGAACCTGAAACCAGAGGAGGTTTTCCTTGCCCAAGGTCCATTACGGCCTGATCTAATTGCAAGAGCATCCCTTGTTGCAAGTGGCAAAGCTGATCTCATCAAAACGCATCACAATGACACAGAGCTTATCAGAAAGTTGAGAGAAAAGGGAAAAGTCATAGGACCTGTAAAAGATTTTCATAAAGATTAAGTGGGAATTTTAGGCAGAGAACTTGGACTTCCAGAAGAGTTAGTTTCCAGACATCCATCTCCAGATCTCTGGCATGAAGGCTCCTTCTGAAGTGGGTCCTGATCAAACTGTAATGGGGGTCAAAATCATGGGCGTTGGGCTGCTTTTCCCAGCATACCCAGACTCCCTGACAATGTTATGGGCCTCAAAATGAGCTTGGGGCAAAGTACTGAGCACTCCTGTTGTCAAATGTGGAGTAACCTCTGTAAGAGGTTCTTTAACTGGTGGACTAAATATATAGACAACTCTGTTAATGTTGTGGCACATACGAGGTATAAACCTAGCCAAGAAAACAAGGGATTCCTCATCAGGTGCATCTTTACCAGAGATTCCACACACTTAACTATAGTCACCCTGCACACCTACAGTTTGAATGGGCAGCAAGAAGGCATTCAGTGAATGCAGACACGTAATCTTCATCAGCTTTTCCTGACTCCCATCTGTAGTACAGGCTTTGACTCTTTGTAATGGTGTGTGTGACTTTTTAACACTTGCAGAAAAATCAGCTACTATTTTGAAAATATTATTGGTTTCAGGGAAGTCCTTACAAATATAAGGTTCTTCAGCACATATTACTCTGATTATCTGAACCTTTATTACTAGTGACTTCATGACTGGTACGCCTGCAACATCTGGCAATGGGATCCCTGTAGACGTGGTGTTAAAGATGGTCACTGAGATGAAAAAGATTCCTGGTATTTCTTGAATTATGTATGACTTCACATCAAAGCCCCCAGAAACTACTAAGTGGGAGTAATAAACTTCTTGTGCTATTTAAAAAAAAGAAGAAGAAATTCAGATTCGGATTCCTCAACAACATCCACTTCACAGAGACATTAGGTTTAAAATGAGCTAACTGTGGAAGGGTTGGTAAGCTCTGAAGCCGTCCAGCTCCAAATGATCTGGGAATGCTCCAGTATCATCCGGAATTTGTTTGAAATGCAGAATCTCAGGTCCTGTTCCAGACCTATTGAAACTGGAACTGTGAATGGGGCCCTGCCATTGGTGCTTAATAAATCCTCCAGTGTTTCTGATACGCTACAATTTAACTGCTCTTATAAGTGATACAAATGCTCGCTATTGTTTGTTTGTTTGTTTGTTCGTTTGTTTTTAACTGCTAGAGGTGAAAAGCTGTTGAGTTGATCTCAAGGGGAAGGCAGGATTCTCTGAAAGGAAAACCGGGAGGGGGCCAGGTTGCGACCTGAGGAAATCCCAGCCTCTGTAGTTGAGGCTTTGGATTACTGTCTGAACTCACTGAGGCCTGCAGCGCCAGCGCGGGCGCCGGCCGATGGCGCTGACGTGCAACTGACAAAGAGGCGGGGTCTGCCCGGGCAGGAGGCGCTGGGCTGCAGAAACTCCGGCTCCGCGTGCGGCTGGCACCTCCGGGAGCCGCTGCGATTTACCAAGTCACAACGAGGAGCGGGTAAGTCTTGAGTCCTTCCTTCCAGCTTCTTGCTCCCCGCGCCCGCGTGTCCTTGTGAGGTCCAACGGCGACTCCCAAAGTTGTGAGGGGTTTAGTGGGTCGCACACCGTCCCCCCCAGTGAACACCCCCAAACCCGGCGCTGGGACTGCGGTGCTCCTGGCGAGCGCAGCGCAGTTCGCCCCTTCAGAATGGCTCGGGCCCCCTGGCTTTGAGCCCAGCTCACTGCAGAGCCCACACCTCCGGTTGTGGCCGGGCTAGGGGCTGGGACAGGAAACCTTTTTGAAGAAGGTTTAAGGAATCAGATGGATTCCCAAATTTATCCTCAGATTAGGATCTGATGGCAACTTTTCCAGCTTGGCAAAATCGCGGCGAAGTTTCCATCGCACTGATAAACCACTGGGGTATAATACTTTCAAATCATGCTACTTGGTCTTCAGGTTTCCTAGTAACAGGAAGTTTTCATTTGAAGTCCTTGAAACAGTGCTCCTACTTGTTCAGGATTGGGGGGGGTGGGAGGCGTTGGAGGGGACGCGTGTGTGTGTAAAGTTCCCTCCAAAATAATCAAGGCTTTATGTCATTCTTATTATCACATGTACTGAAAGGGTTTGAAGATTTAAAAAAAAAAAAAAAATTGTGTACATCTCCAAATTCCTAACTCTGGGGACAGCAGGAAGACAAATTGATCATGATGGCCATGATGGAAACAGTGTCAGACACTATGGGTTTATGGGCTCAGGCTTCATCGAAGAGCTGGTACAGGAACCAGAACATGACCACAGCTGTGGCTGAAGGCTACAGGAAGAGTTCACCGCCGTGGGGTAGTACCACCCGGCTGAGGCTTTGGGTATCGTTCTAACAAGTTTCCGATTTAAGGACAATGGTTGGTTATTGAAACATTTTGACGGTGGGAATCCATGGTCTCTTATGTTTTAAGAGGCTATTTCTGGGAACAGAGTGGAGCCCCTCCTTTTAAAACAGTAGTCACTAGTCCCACACAGCTATTGTGCCCTTATGGGTAACCTGAAGTGAAATATACTCACTGGATTTTGAAAACTTAGTACGAAAATATTGTAAAATACTTCACTAATTTTATGTTGATTACAAGTTGACATGAAAATATTTTTGATGTATGCAATTCAATAAAATATATTATAATTTTAAAAAACAACCAAACAAGAAATAAATTCTGTTCTTTTTGTAAAAGAAAAAAAAAATTTCCCCTAGGAAATGATGTATGGCGGTTAAGGTGGCTGGATCCCATGTGGCTGACCATGCAGTTGGCATCCTGGAGGTGGCTTGAAAAACATGCTGGTCACATGTGCTAGGGTATGCCCAAAATCCTGAGAGGAGAAGGGAAGAGAAGGAATTTCAGAGTGGCTTTCTCATTTTTTCTTTGTTCTGTGTGTGTGCGCACACTCTCTCTCTGTCATTCTCTCTCCTTGGCAAGTGCAAATAATAAAAATGTTTAAATCCCTCCACATGGGGCCAGCAGGTGGTGTGATGGTTAAGGGCGCTGGATTCCCATATGGATGACAGCAATCACAGTCCAGGACCCGGCAGCGTGCTTTCTCATTTTCCTTCTCATTGTCACTCTCTGGTCAAATTAAATAAATAAATAAATCTTTAAAAAAAATCCCTCCACATTGTGACAATTAATTAAAGGGTCATTCATTAACATGAATGTTAAACCCAGGACAAAAGCAATGCTTAAAAGAAGAAAAGCAGCACCATGAAGAAAAACATCTTCCCTTCACATAGTTAAATGTGGCACAGCAAATGGCCACTTGAAAGGATAGAAGGTGGAAAGTGCGATGCACCCCTCCATGTATTCCAGTCATGGAGTTTCCTCATATTCCAAACTTCTGGACATAAGCATGAGTCAGTGGGGCTGTGTCAATATTTAGCAGAAACACCACTGCAGCCATGCTGGTACAGCAAAACGGAAGTCACATCAGAAATATGCTTTGCTTTTCAATGGGGATGAAAGTTAGAAACTTTGGGTCAAATTCTGGAGTTCTTACCATGTCAACACTGTGCTGTTTCCTGTTTTGTTTATGTGTGTGTGTGTGTGTGTGTGTGTGTGTGTGAAAAGATTTTACTGTAGAACTTAAATGATATATTTGCTTAATGTCTAATGGAAACAAACATATTTTATTTGACTGATATTTTGTTTTCCTGGCTTCTGGGCACACAGATGACTGTTGGCCACATAGTCAACAAGCTCCCTCACTGCCATGGGGCTTTCCTTGGCTTTACTCTTTTTTCTTCTTCACAGAATTATTTTATTTAACTTTATTTATTTATATTTTTAAATTTTAACCAGCAAAGGACAGAGTGGGGGGGGAGGGTGAGAAAGCAAGCCTCCAGGTCCAGGACTTGAACTGTAATCAGCCATATGGGAGTCCAGTGCCCCTAACCACCACACCATTTGCTGACCCCAGCCTTGGCTTTAGTCTTCAGCATGTTCTCTCTACTGTGCAAATGGCTGGGTGGCTTTGCAGGGCCACGCTGGCTTTCCACAGAATCTCTACATAGTGGCCCTCACTTAGCAAACACTGCCAACTTGCTAGGTGTCCAGGACTAGAAAAGAGCCTCATCCCTTTTCTCTGCTGCCTTCCCTCGCCACCATCTGTCTATAAAATTTTGTCTTCCTTTAGGATACATCACATTGCCGTGCAGTTACTTGAAATAACTGTCTTCTCTCTTATACTTCAAGGGTTTTTCAGAGCAGAGGGTTTATCTTATTTAGCTTTATATTCCCACTGCCTGATGTCATTTTTCACACTATAGTTACTGAATTAATATTGAGTAAAGGGCCAGCTCAATAGACAGCTAGGTGGCATAGTGGTTAAGGCAGCTGATACCCACTTGGCTGACTACACAGTTCCAGTCCTGGACTCAGAGGCTTGAGAAGCATACTGGGCATGTAGGCCAGCACCCATACACGCCCAGCATGATTTTCAAGCTGCTGGGTCTGGAATTCAAATGGTAATGTCAGCCATGTGGGATCACCTGCTGGCCCCATAATAAATTATTTCTTGTGTTTGAGTGCAGTACATGATACTTCTATTTCTAAACACCACCTCCTAAACTAGTCAGTTTATAATGTTGGTTATGTTCTACATGACTTAGAATTAACACTTATTGAGGAAATAGACAGTAAATCCCTCCAGAGTAGACATGAAGTCTTATTTCACTCTTTCTTCTCTAGTATCTGTCATGGAGTTAGATTCATCAATACTTGATGATTGGCATGTGCCTCACCTAGAATTCTTTCAAATCCAATGGTGAACACTCAACTCCGACTGAAGCAAAATAGGGGACGTATTGCCTGTGTAACTGAGAAATACAGCATCTGGTCCCAGGACCCTACCACATATGCCAGAGGACTCCTCTGTGCCTTTCATCATTTCTTGTTCTGTGTGTTGGCTTTCTTCTGTTCTAATGAGCACATCTTCCTCCTTACAGCAAGGAGGAAAAAAATGTGGTAGATTTGCATACCAATCCAAATTAACAAAAATTTCTCTCTTCCACTTCCATACATAAATATCAAAGAAGGAACTGTCAATTCAACTAAGGCTGTGTGTCAGCCCTCAGCCAATCATTGTGATCTTGCGAATAGGGAACTGTGATTGGACAAATCTATGTCCCATGCCCACTTCTGTGCCCAGAGGATGAGGCATTCTCTAAATGAAGGAAATGTTTTTCTTTTCTTTTCTTTTTTTTTTTTTTTTTTTTTTTTTTCTGCCTGGGGGAACTGGAGGAGTTGTTTTGTTTTTATATTTTTGTCATAGTGCACATGTGTTTACTAGAGAGATTCAGAGACAAGGAAAGTGAGAAATCAACCTCCTGGGAGGATGGCTATGCCCTAGTCCCTGTTCTCTATTATGCTCTTGAGATTTTAGGACTCACACATACGTACCTGGTGTGTTTTTCAGGCTGCTGGCTCCAGGTCTCTAACCACGGTGGTAGCCATGTAGGATCCAGTGCCTTAATCCCCACACCACCTGCTGGCCCATGGAGGAAATGTTTTAAATAAGAAAAAGGTAAGAAAGGAATATAAGAAAAGCAAAACAACAAATATACTCATCATGAATGTTCTGAAATTTTGAAATAAATAATATTGTATCGGGGCCAGGAGGTGGCATAGTGGTTGAGGCACTGTACTTCCACATGGCTGACTGCAGTTTCCAGTACTGGGCCAGTGACTTGAAACCCACTGAGCATATATGTGTAAGTGTCCAGAATCCCAAGAAGAAAATGTAGGAGAAGGGATTGCATCATGACCATCTTCCCCAGGGGAGGATTTCTCACTTTCCCTCTCTCTGTCTCTTTCTCTCTCTCTGACAAACACACATGCCCTATAGCAAAAATAATTTTTAATTTTAAAAATACTTGATCTGAAAAATGCTCAAGGAGTACCTCAACAAAGAAAATATTGGCATTATATAAAGGTGACTTTTTTATTCTTTGAAAAGATCAGACTTTTGAAACCCCAGAACATTTGAACTATTCTGAGCTATTCTTGGAAACAACTTTCCACTTAATAAAGTATTACAAGTGGTCTTAAAATTCAAACACATTTGGAATGTTTTATGTCAATCAAATTGTTGTACAGAATTTGTTTCTCAGTGAATCTTATAAAGTGCAAATTGGAGATTATTCCTCTAGCAGGAAATTTGGAACTAATAAAAACAAAGAATGATATTATGACCTCATGTTTCCCTTCCCTAAAGTATTACATCAAGTCTGGTGAGGATCTGTGAAGATTGTTAAGAAAAAGATTCTTTTTTGAGGTAAGAAATTTGACAAAAAAATTTTTTAAGTTTATTTCTTCTTTCTGAGAGAGATACAGAGACAGAGAGATAGGCAACTGCAAAATGGTCTTTACTTTGTTTTTTGTTGTTGTTTTTGTTTGTTTTAAGGTTTTTTCCATAGGGGGTGTGCGCCTGCTGGAGAAGAGTGAGACAGAGATAAAGACAGTGAGAAGGAAAGAGAGAAATCACCCCCCAGGGAGATGGCCATGCTGCAGTCCCTTCTCCTCCATTTCCTCCTGGGATTTTGAATACACATGCACACGTGCCTAGTGTGATTTTTAAGCTGCCAGGTCCAGAACTCAACCATAGTCAGCCATGTGGAAGTCCAGTGCCTTAACCACCACACCACCTGCTGGCTCCCCAAAATATTCACTTTGTGATCAACCCCAGTCTTGGGCGACCAAGTCACATACAACACAATCGGCATGCTCAGGGAGGTTCCAGGGTATGATCTCAGGACCTTTCCCATGTGAGTCCAGTTACATTACTGCTGCACCACAACCTGGCCCCTATACAATTATTTTTCATAGTTGAATAGGAGAATATGATATGTGGATAATAAAGCACAACTCAACACCGAACTGGAAATAAACTGCAATTCATGTCTTAATAAGACCAGTTCATTACTCCGCTGGAAAAATGGCACTATGAAAATACTATCTTTTGATCCTTTATGCCACTCTCCAGATTCATGTTACAAGAATATCTATTCTATTCATTGTCTGAATCTCAGAATATATTCTCCCATAAAATCAATTAATGTTTCATATTTCAGTGTCTGAAACCTGAAAGTCTATTAAACATACAACTTCATGTAGTATAATCTTGTATCAGCTACCTCCAACCTCGATTGATAACATGGTTACTCCCAAAAGAATGTATTCCTAATTCTTTTTTTTTTTTAGAGAGAGAGAGATTTTTGCTATAGGCCGCATATGCTCACTGGAGAAAGAGAAAGCGAGGGGGATGCCCACACCACAGTCCCTTCTCCTCTATTCTCCTCTCAGGATTTTAAGCACCCATGCACACACACCCCACGTGAGTTTAAGCTGCTGGGTCTAGGATTCAAATCACGGTCAACTACATGGGAGTCCAGCAACACAACCATTACGCCATCTGCTGGTTTCGAATGCATTCTTAATTCTATTCATTTTTTAAAGAAGTATTTTATTTACCTTTATTTACTTATTTTAATTTGACCAGAGAGGGACAAAGTGAGGGGGGGGAAGGGAAAGTGAGAAAGCAAGCTGCCAGGTCTAGAACTAGAACCACAGTCAGCCATGTGGGAGTCAGCACCCTTAATCACTATGTCACCTGCTGGCTCCCCTATTCTTTTTTTTTTTTTTAGGGCGCATGTGCTCGCCAGAAAGACAAAGAGAGACAAAGAGACAGAAAGCAAGAAATCACCCCACAGGGGGGATGGCCATCCCGCAATCCCTTCTCCTCCATTCTCCTCTCAGGATCTTGGGCATACACACACACATACACACACACACACACACACACACACACACACACGCCCGGCGTGAGTTTAAGTCACCAGATCTGGGACTTGAACTGCAATCAACTACATGGGAGTCCAGCAACATAGTCAGTACGCCAACTGCTGGTCCCAGCCCCCTATTAATTTTTTATTTCAAGTTTTTATTCCATTTATCTTTGAGGGGAGTTGGCTCTCCTCTAAAGGAGAACCTGGAGTCAAAACTTTCTAAAATTAAAGGCAACATCTGACCCTCCTTTGTATTTCATGTAGACACCTAGATCACTGACTAAGACAAAAAAGTAGTAACTGTTCTCATGAGGTGTCAATCTTCCCTGCTAGACTGCAAATTATGAGGGTGGGGCAGGGACCACTTCTTTCCATTCTACTCCTCAGGCTTCTAGTTTAAGGCTCACACAGATTATACTATGAGGTTAAATGTGTAAGTCAGTCACTATCTGAATTTTTATGGTACTTTATCTGCCACTCTAGTCTTTGAGTACATTTTTCATATTGTGCCATCAAAATTAACATCATAAATAGAATAGATTTGAAGATAATTATTTTTATAGGTAGCTGAAGCCATACTCCTTTATAGAATCAATGGAGAACAGAAAAGACATCATAAACCAAGAAGAACTTTGGAAAATGAAGCCTAGGAGAAGTCTAGAAGAAGATTATTTGGTAAAATAATAATAATCAAAATCTAAATATAATTAAAATGTTGTTCTATGTTTCCTAATGTTGTAAAAGTGATTTTCACCCTAGCGTGTTGATATCTGCATTCAGATTTCTGTCACTGAGGAACAATATGGTATATATGAGAGAAAAAGTACCTTAACTGGTTATTAGGGACTTAGCTCAATAACCTTAAATAAATCACTAGAAATCTTGGGTCTTGGGTTATCTATAAAGTAAGGGGGCTAGACCAGATCATCTCCATCTCTCTGTAATTCCTTGTAATGGTCTGTAGTTCTAAGTGGGAAAAAAAAAGTTATAAATACCCATACAGTAATAGTTTTTTGGTAAGCAAACATTTTTTTCATAGGCACTATGGCAGTTTACCAAGATATCATCAAGTAAATTGATGATTCACTGCTTAACCAAATAAATTCACTTTGGATGAGAATCATTTGTCCACTTTGGGTCAACCACAGTATTGAATGTTTCTTGCTGCATTATTTAACTGGAAAAGTGGTAGAAAATTTTGATTCCAAATGCTTACCTTTCTAAAACATCTCAACTGTAGTTTTAACAGAAATTATTCATCTTTACTATTTTTTCTATTAAAATATAATTAAGAAAAAGTAATTAAGAAATTATAAGCACATACTCTATAAAATGGTACATGAAATAACATTTTAGTTTTCAAATTAACTGTCTTACTTGTCTAAATCATGTATTTCTTTTGTCTTAAAGACAAATGAATAACAGAAATTAATGGAGAACACCAGTGTAACTAAGTGCACTTTTGATTATTGCTACAGAGACGGTGCTATCTTCAGCTAACCAACATCCAAAAGCTCTGTTCTGAATAGCCTTATTTACCAAGAAGCACCATGATTGAGTAATAAATAATTAGTTTAAGATAAATCTCATTGTTGTGTTCAATTTTAACATGTTTACTTTCTTTTCTTTGTAGACTAATGACACAAGAGAAATGAGCATGCTGAAAAGACCTGTGGTTTTGAATTTGCACCAGACAGTCCATGTCGATGAATTTGATTGCCCCTCAGAACTTCAGCACAAACAGGAACTTTTTCCAAAATGGCACTTGCCAATGAAAATAGCTGCTATTGTATCATCTCTCACTTTTCTTTATACTCTTTTGAGAGAAATAATTTACCCTTTAGTAACTTCTCACCAACAATATTTTTATAGGATTCCAATCCTGGTCATCAACAAAGTCTTGCCAATGGTTTCCATCACCCTGTTGGCATTGGTTTATTTGCCAGGTGTGATAGCAGCAGTTGTACAACTTCATAATGGAACGAAGTATAAGAAATTTCCACATTGGTTGGATAGGTGGATGATAACAAGAAAGCAATTTGGGCTTCTCAGTTTCTTTTTTGCTCTACTGCATGCAATTTATAGTCTGTCTTATCCAATGAGACGATCCTACAGATATAAGTTGCTAAACTGGGCATACCAACAGGTAGGATGGCAATGTTGACAGTATTACTAAACAAAAACTTTAGTCACCCAAGAAATTAATTTTCTCATAATAATATCAAACCCTGTTGAAATCTGCTTTTCTTTTTTTTTTTTTTTTAATTATACTTTCATTGGTGTTTGGTTGTATAGTTTTGCATTGAGGACTTTTTTTATTGCTGAAAATAGTAAAGTACAACTTTAACAACATGAAAATAATATTTGTTCATGGACATAACCACTTTTTAATCATCTCTCACTTTCACAAGATTACTTTTTTAAAAAAAAGTTATCTATTTAGGGACCAACGGTTGGCGTAATGGCTATGTCACTGGACTCCCATGTAGTCGACTGTGGTTTGAGTCCCGGACCTGGTGGCTTAAACTCACACCAGGCACGCGTGCATGTGTGCCCAAGATCCCAAGAGGAGAATGGAGGAGAAGGGAATGCAGCGTGGCCATCCCCCCGGGGGCTGATTTCTTGCTTTCTGTCTCTCTGTCTCTCTCTGTCTTTCTGGTGAGCACACGTGCCCTATAGCAAAACCTCTCAAAAAAAAAAGTATCTGTTTAATTTATGATAGATCTTATATGCATACTAGGCATTTGGGGGTGGGGGGGTACCCTAATCATTCAATCCCATTTCCTAAGCTCTCCAATTTGGGATTATGGGTGCCTGTACATGTATCCAGCATGTTTTCAGGCCAACCTGGGGATACAAACTTGTGGTTGGCCATGTGGCTCTCAGCATTGCAGTTCAGCTTGCTACTGACTGAACCACCAGGCTGGGCCAAGATGATGATGATCATAATGATTATTTATTCTTTTTTAGATTTTTGCCATAGGGTGCATTGTTCCTGCCAGAGAGAGGGAAAGTAAGAAATAACCTCCCAGGGAAATAGCCACACCACAATCTCTTCTCCACCTAAATTTGGGGTATGCACACACATGCCCAGCATGATTTTCAAGCCAGCAGGTCTGGGACTCGAACCACAGTTGACCATGTGAAAATCCAGTGTGGTAACCACCACACCACCTACTGGGCACCCCCAAGATTATTTTTTAATGTTGATTGTTCTTATCTTCTGCTTATTTACAACACACACATGCATACTACAGTTCTAGCCAAGTAAAATATCAAATAATTATTACCTAATTAATAAAACGTATTTATGTTATATTTAAGGGCAAAAAAGTAATAATTCTATGTCACTTCTCGTAGAGTAATGCCAAAAAGAAAAAGTCACAAAGTCGTGAAAGCTTCCCTCATTATCAGGGCCCCTGCAGTAGATAGAGGGAGTATAGGAGATTCACTTGCGAGAAATGTTTGCTTTCCTTCTTCCCTCTTTTATCCTCTGGTAGGTACAACAAAATAAAGAAGATGCCTGGATTGAACATGATGTCTGGAGAATGGAGATTTATGTGTCTCTGGGAATTATGGGACTTGCAGTACTGGCATTGTTGGCTGTGACGTCTATTCCATCTGTGAGCGACTCTTTGACATGGAGAGAATTTCACTATATTCAGGTAAATTATATATAAAATAGCTCTGGTCCCTCAAAGATGTAAATCTTTTTGTGCTTATAATGCCAAGTACTCAAGAAAACAATTCTTCCTAACATTTGAAACATGCTAGACAGTTTGCTCCCCTAATAACTATAAATGTGCTAGTTTAGGAATCCAATATCCATGACTCATTAGTTCCCCCAAAATAAAAATACTCTTTCATCTATCCACTGGTTGTAGTCATGCCTTTTAAGTTATACAGTATTATACTATGCAGGAAAAAAGTATCTCTCTTCCTTGAAATAAGGGGTTTTATCCACCATATTATAATCTCTTATATTAAAGCTGCTTTTTCTAAGTTACATTTTATGTAGCTTACTCAGTTAAAGTTTCTAAATATTCTAGAAATTTGAAAAAAAAAATCTCAGATTGAAGTTTTTCTCTGAATGGTAGATTGCACTTAAAAAGAATGATGTGCCAGAATTCAGGAGATCTGTATCTGGCAAGATTCAAAGGCTTAAATTTAATTCATTCATAAGCACTGCCAATATTTTTTAAATTACATAACTTTAGCTTTATGGGTGGATACCTTTGGACATTTCCACAAAGAAAGGCCCATTATCCTTTCTGCATGTCCACATACAGACCCCAACAGATACTTTATCAGGTCATCTGATCAAGCTGCACAGTATACCTCTTTCTGTGACTTAGACGTGGCACCATGTTCTCCAAGCACAGTATTTTCTAGTTCTGTAGGTTTAGCCTGATAGTCTCTGGAATCCTTCGTTTCTCATTAAAGAGCTTTCTTTGTACATTGCTCTGCCTGTCACACATGCTGAGCACTACATTTCAGACGGAATTAGGAATTCAAGCACTGCATCCTAATAACTGTGTCCACTCTACTATGTGCACAACCTCTTGCTCATAGTAAGTATAGTATACTTTTGGTCAAATTAATCCTCAATCAATCAGTATTTTTTTAATTACTTAGAAACTTTTCATTTCACACTTAAGAATTGGTTAAACTACAATTTACCATTGAGATTCATTTATGAAAATATAAACTTAGCTATTTGATTGTATTCATTGGAGCTTAAGAGGTTGACTGAATAATTGTGAGGTAGATTCATTCCGGCAGGCTAATGACCATTTCCAGCAGTGTGAATAGAAGTCAAAAGTCATCAAAAAGTGCTATTGTCTAAATGCTGTAAGATTACACAGGTGAACAAGTATTTTTAATCAGGTTTATTTGTATGGTGTCAAGCATTCCAATATAAGCTAAAGTTTCTCATAACATCTTTAGATGTATTTTAGTTAAAACATTGAACTAATCATTGATATTTTTCCATTTTATCAAAATGTTTGATTTTTTTTTAAGAGACATTTTTGCTATTGGGTGAGTGCACTTGCTGGAGAGACAGAGAGAGTCAGAGAAAGAGAGATAGAAAGCGAGAAATCACCCCCCAGGGGGAGAGCCATGCTACAATCCTTTCTCTTCTGTTCTCTCAGGATCTTGGGCATGCATGCACATGCTCCCAGAGTAAGTTTTAAGCCACCAGATCTGGGACTCGAACTGTGGTCCACTACGTGGTGATCTAGCGACGTAACCATTATACCATCTGCTGGCCCCCAAAATGTTTGATGTTTTTAAACATAAGCCAAGTTAATTCTTCAATATTCATTTACCACAGTCAGATTGAATCACATTAATTGCCTTCACAGTTAATAAAGATCACTTAAGTCAAATTGACTTTTGCAGTAATATTCAGTCAACCCACCAGTATTGATTGAGCACCTAAAAGGTGCAAATCAGTGCTGATTCTGCAGGGATCTTATGAGAAAGATACAGTCCCTGATTTTAGATGCCTTTGACAGGTGAAATTTTTAAAAATGCATTAAGAGAAAAAGCACCATAAAATGAATGTTGAAAGAGATAAAGTAGTAGAGAAAGAGAAAACAGGATTGCTGATCACCTGAGATTAAAAGACAGATTGCGAATTTTCTCAATTTAAATTGCCTGGAGACTATAACATTGCCCAAAAGTAAGATGGTGAGGGGGGGACATGTGAAAAGAGTGGAAAGATGTGAATGGACATCGTTGACAAATGTGGTATAGGAAAACAATTATAGATGAAGTAAAGGATTTACAAGCAACAGAACAGATCCAGATAAGGTAGAACAGAATAAATTTATTAAACCTAACTTCACTAAGGTAATTTTGTTTCTCTTTTACAGAGCAAATTAGGAATCGTTTCCCTTCTACTAGGCACAATCCACGCATTGATTTTTGCCTGGAATAAATGGATAGATATAAAGCAATTCATATGGTATACACCTCCAACTTTTATGATAGCTGTTTTCCTTCCCATTGTTGTCCTAATATGTAAAGCCGTACTATTCCTGCCATGCTTGAGGAAGAAGATACTGAAGATTAGACATGGTTGGGAAGACAGTACCAAAATTAATAAAACTGAGATGTCTTCCCAGTTGTAGAACTATTGTTTACACATTTTTGTTCAATATTGATATATTTTATCATAAACATTTCAAATTTGTATTTGTTAATAAAAGAACCACTTGAGAATCTTAATATATCGTTGGTTATAGGTAATGAATTTAAAATATATGTATTTACTTGCAGATTTGATTCAAAGCGTGAATTCAAAGCACACACACACACACACACACACACACACTCCTCTTTAGACCATTTTCTGTTTTATAAAGCATAAGAAAACAATCACATCTGATTTGTCACACTGCATAGCATTACAAGTAATCAAAGGCCTTAAAATACCAGTTCTTGCTACCCATTACACAGATACCACGAGTCATTACAAATATGTTATTTTGAATGTACAACACAGGGATATCAGTGTTTATGATTATTGTTAAAGAATTTTTATTTTTATGTAACCAAATAAGAATTTTCATTTTTATTCATGAAACACCTATTTCAAAAAACAGACCTCATCTACACAAGTAAAGCAACAAAGTCATATCAGATACATATCAAGGCAAAAGAAAACTCAAGATCTCCTGAAAGCAAAGTAAATTCTGTATATTTTCTGCTCAGTTATATCCAACTCAATTTACCTTAATATGAGGGAATTTCAAAAAGTTCATGGAAAAAATAGATTTAAAAGTAAAAATACAGGAACCAACAGATGGCGTGATACTTACATCACTGGTCTCCACATGTTGACCATGTTTCAGGTCCTGGACCCAGTGGCTTAAACTCTCACTGGGTGCACATGCGTGTGTGCCCAAGATCTCAAGAGGGGAATGGACCAGAAAGGATTACAGCATGGCCATCTCCTCTGGTGGGTGATTTCTTGCTTTCTGTCTCTGGCAAGCACACATGCCCTATAGCAAAAATCTCTCTTAAAAAAAAAAAAAAAGTAAAAATACAGCCAGTGAGTGATGTGGTAGTTAACGCTGCTGGATCCTACATGGCTGACTACGCATATTTACTCTTGCACAATTCATATTCTTCTGATGAGGTGCTTTTCAAACTGATGTCTTATCCTTTTAGTATCTCAAATTGGGTCCTTTACAAACAAGTTGTGTAGTCCATTTTTGGATTGCTAACAGAAAAACCTGAGCCTGGATGATTTATAAAGAAAATAGAGGGTTAGGCCCATAGCCCAGCAATTAAGCTCTATGCACTGGCAGTCAGATCCCACATGGCTGACTGTGGTTCAAATCCTAGCCCCACCTCTTGAAAAACACACCAGGCATGTGTGTACATGTATGCCAGATCCTGACAGAAGGGAGAGATGAGAAAGGACTGAGGTATGACCACACCCCACTGGGGAAGTGTTTGCCTTCTCTCTCCATCTGTCCCTCTGGTAAGTACATGTGCCCTCTGGCAATAAAAATAACAAGAGAAAGGGAATCAAGGGGGGGAAAGAAAGAAGCAAAACATTTAAAGGACACAAAAATGGAAAATCATCTGTTGATAACATGAAAAAATATCCCTGCCTGGACTAATATACAGTGTATTTATGCTGGGAAAATACATTTGACATGCTTTAATGATATACAGTGATTGGATATATGAAAATATGTATATAATAAAATAGAGATTTATTTACAAAATTCATGATTCTGGTGGCTAGAAAACCCCTCGTCATCACAAAATGGTGCAAGGCAGAATTTTTGGCAGAGGAGAGCATGGTCTGTATCCATGAGTCTCTCTTCTTCTGGTCTCATTCCTCTTATATACACACCAAAACTCAGACATGGGGGCTCCATTCTAACCATTTTATCACACCAAGGATTAATCTTTCACTTAATAGCTTTATAATACAATCAGGCCCAACACATAAATTTTGGGAAGACATTCAGAATATAGCACAAGTTGGGACCAGCAGATGGTGCAATGGTTACGTAGCTGGACTCCCACATAGTCGACCACAGTTCAAGTCCCAAACCTAATGACTTTAAGCTCACGCTGGACAGGTATGCGTGCACACCCAAGATCCTGAGAGGAGAATAGAGGAGAAGGAATTGTGGTGTGGCCATCCCCCCAGAGGGGTTTATTGCTTTCTGTTTCTCTAGCAAGCTCATATGCCCTACAGCAAAAATCTCTCTCTCAAAAAAAAAAAAAGATTGTATATGTATATATATATATGTGTGTGTGTGTGTGTGTATATATATATATATACACAGTGCAACTTATAACAGTATGAGTTTATTTTGGCACAAATTCATTTTTAATTTATGCATAGTTTTTTCATAATACACATTTTCTATAAACTTTTAGAAGATCCCTGTGCTTTGCCAAAGCATATCGTGACCTAGTTCCATAAAGTGCAAACTATATAACAACTATCAGTACTTGCTCATCCAATTAACCAGCTTTGTACTTCAGAGGTTTCTCATAATTAGCAAAAGTAATCACAAGCATTATCTTGTATACAGGTAAGCTATTATAATGATTAAAGACAATAAAGCTAATGGTAATGATATAAATTAGGCAAAATGATTAGTACATTCCATGAGTGAAGTCTAGTTTTTCTATTTTTTTATCCTATTACAAATGATGATTAGTCATTATTACATGGGGGCAAAGAAGCTTCTTTGGGTATAAATTTAATTCTGTGCACTACTAGAGTTCAGACATAAAGACATGTTTACAGATGGTGACGAAAAGAGTTGAGAGCAGCACAGCTGAAGACAGAGCAGACAATAGTGCCCTTAACAAAATAATTCTCCACAAGAGAGAAAGGATTCTAGAGCTCTGGAACTATAAACTAGATTCTGCGAAGAGATGTAACTATGGGACCAATTGGCAGATCAGGACACGTGTCATCATACCATAATCATTGAGCTCTGACATGTCTGCACGCTCACCTGCATGGCAAAGTGCCGGTATCTCCAATACTGAGAAGGAGAAACTGGGTTCCAGCCTTCCTGGTACCAAGTTATCATAGAAGCTGCATCTTGGGAACAAGAGTTGCCACCTGAAGTAGCAGCTCAGTGAGACGTTCAGGGGCAACAGCTGAGTTCTAGCTTAGTTATTGGAGCTCTGTCTCTGTTAACCATGATAACTATAGGCCTATTCTGAAAACAGAATATACACCTTTGGAACTTCTCAGTAATAGGAGATAGTTTATAAAGGCACAAAGTAAGGCACAAAACATCTAAATTCAATTTTACTCTGATTAGTAAAAACTAAACCATTCACTCTATAGGTTTTCTGCACTTTTTTTTAATGTTCATTGAGCAGTATTGTTATAAGCAAAAGAAAACAATAACAGTTGTCTCATGAAGGGGCCAGCAGATGGTAATTAAAGGAGTGGTGGATCCCACATGGCATAGTTTGAATCCTGGACCTGACTGCTTAAAAAATACTCTGGGCACGTATGTGTGTGTGCCCCAAATCCCAAAAGAATGGAGGAGACTGGATTGTAGCATGGCCATCCCGCACCACCCCCATCCCACCTTACCCCCCCGCCAGGGAAGCATTCTCACTTTCCCTCTGTCTCTGTCTCTGGAGAGCATACACACCTTATAGCAAGAATTAAAACAGAAACAAATACATTGGTCCAACTGGCGATGTAGTGGTTAAGGTAGCTGGATCCCACATGGCCAACTGAATAGTTCGAATCCCAAATCTAGGGGCTTGAAAAACATGCCAGGTACATGTATTTTCATGCCAAAAATCCTAAGAGAATGGAAGAGAAGAGATTGCAGTATGGCCATTCACCCTGCGGAGTGACTTCTCACTTTGTCTCTCTCTTTTTCTCCACAGCAAGTGCACTTGTCCTATAGCAAAAATAAAATTAAAAACAAACAAATGAAAACAAATATTGGGTTGACTCCATGGTTTGGTGGTTAAAGAGGCTGGATCCTACACGGCTAACTCCACAGTTCAACTATCAGATTCAGCAGCTTGAGAAACACATCAGGTGTGGGTTCATGTGCGTGCATACCCATAATCTCAAAAGGAAGGAGAGATGGAGGAGAAAAGATTGTAGTGTGACCATTCCCCAAGGAGGGTGCTTTTGTCCTCCCTCTCTCTGGTGAGCACACACACTCTCAAGAACAAAGGCTATGTTTTGGTATAAGCTTGAATTTCCTTTTATTCACTCTGCTGACTTCTACAGAGCACCTTCCATGTAACAGGCCAGGTTAGACAGAGGATATAGCAAAACACAAATGACCTTGTCCCTACTCTCAATCTTATAGGAAAGACAAATTTTAGTTAAGCAGTGGGTTCTGGATTTAATGATATTAAGGGAAAAAATACCAGTTCTGTTTAAAAGGGCCAAGTCAGGAAGGTGTGAGGTTGATGCAGAAAAAGAGAAACTATGAGCTGGACATTAAGCCAGGAGTCCTTCAGATAGAATGGGATACTAGGGTGTGATGTGATATGTTGGAAGGTCTAGTTCAGAATAGCTGGAACAGCGTATGTGAAGGAAATACCAGATTAGATCAGGACAAAGATCAGTCAGATCACCAAGACCATTATATAACATGAAACTAAGTTTGGACTTTGTCCTTCAGGGAGTGAAGACACTATTGAAAAGCTTTAAACAGGGAATTATAATCAGATTTGCATTTTAGAAAGATCTGCTTGGAGTCTTCGTAAGTTTATGAAAAATGCATATTGTAAAAATAAATATTAATTTCAACACTTTTGTGCAAAAATAAACTTGTACTTTAATTAATTTTCCACATTTTTGAAGGCCTCTTGTATCTATAAACTATTCAGGAGATGGATTTGAAGGACAAAGAGTAAAGGCAAGTTAGAAAACTACAAAAATATATAAGAAAATGACTACAAGATCCCAGGACAGAGACAATAAAGTTCCAAATAAAGGTCATTACAGAGGGGATGGATAAAACAGGACAGTTAATAAAATATAATAGAAAAACAGAATTTCCAAGAGTTCATGATCAATTGAATATGAGGGGTGAGAAAGGGAAAGGTGTTTAGGGTGAGACTTCTAGTATTCCTTTAGCTTACAGGATGACTTAAAGAATGAGACGCTGTCATTTGATACAAAGTGGATGAACGTAGAAGATTTAATTCTAAGCAAAGTAAGTCAGACTATGAAAAATAAACACTGTATG